CATACTTTCAACATTTTTTTAATTAAGGATATAAGTTTTTTTATTAATCAATACTAGTTCTTTTTAAAAAAATTTAATTAAATATATTAATTTTATGATTTTTTATAAATGAATTAAATGGGCATGCATGGTTATATTTTTAATTAAAAACTTTTCAAAAGTGATAGTTTTAATTAGTAAAATTTCAAATATGATATCATTAATTAAAAACTTTTGAAAAATAATAATTTTGATTAATAAAAAAAGGGTTATATCCTTATTTAAAAAAATTTTGTGAGGATGTGTCCTTATTTTTACCCATTCTTAAGAGAAAACATTAAAAAAATGAGTGTTATAATGCAATCTGTAGTATACAAACTGTATTTCTTTTAATTATTGATTGACAAGTATGTTGTTAATATAAGGAGAATCGTCATTTTCATTAATAATTAAGGGAAGTGTAATCCATATAAAGTATATTATATCTCATTTTTTTATAAAAAAATATTTATTTATTTATAATATTTGAAGAAAAAGACAATTATGATGTCCTGATATTAAAAATGTCAAAACATCTTAATATAATTAAATATGTAGGGTATGATATAGGTTCTAAATTTATTAAATTTATCATATGATTATTATTAAATATCTTAATATTTTTAATGATAAGACATCCTAATTTTTCTTTTTCTCATTACTTTTTTATATATGTTTGAAAAAAGTCTATTCGCACAACTTCTAAAAAATTAAAGAAGATATTTATTACTATGTTCTTTTAATAAAATTTTATTAAAAAAATGAAATAAACTATTTTCAATTGCTAAGATAAACTATTTTTAAAATAAAAATGAGACAATTTTGATCTTTTCATATATACTTTATTTAAACAATATAATTTTAGTTTTTTTTTTCTAATTTGTTAAAGTTTTGGTTGACAAATGCTAATATTTTTTTTTTGTTTGTAACATTTATTGCTTATTGATAATTATATTACCAAAAAAAAATTATTGTTAATAAAATAAAATAACATCAATTGACATAATTTATTTGTGAATAATGCGCACAATTTCTTTTAGTTTTTTTTATATATGATTGAAAATAACTTTCCCCTATTTTTTTTTTATCTTTACTTTCGTTCAATTCACTTGTCTTCATAACTACATCTGCTTAAATTGTTAGCATATGCATTCATTAATTCATTTATTTGATTTAATGGCAAGTGACTGTTATGAATATTAGTAGTAGACTAGTAGTTGTTAATAATCATTGTTGTTGAATTGCTATAAAAATATAGCCAAAAAATAGCTGTACATTAAAAAAAAAAAAAAACCTCCTAACATTGCAACGGGCCAGGCCTTCAACCAAGTTTCTATTTTCTAACCCATTAAGCAATGATATAGGCCCAAAATGTCCTCACAAGCCCAAACGGTTCCAAAATATTTCCAAAAAATCCAAGCCCAGACCCAGTAACCTGTAATCCATTTATTTCGTCTTGTTCACTTTCTTTGTTTGCTACCAGTCTGCAACTGAGCTAGCGCCCGCAGGGAGGAGGGCAGCTGCGCGGATTTGGCACCCTCCGCCAATGTTACTGGGCGGCGGTGCTCGAATCACACAGCCGTGGCGGGTTCATAGTCCACTCTTCAGCCTCTCTCATCATCTCTGCATCAACCCCAAGGTCTCAAGTCCTCTGAATGGAGAATGTGACGATTTCTTACCTTGGTTGGAGAAAAAGGCTGGGGCTAAGATTTCCTCAGTGCTTTCAATTGGGAAATCCGCCTACGGCAGGTTCTTTCTTTTGAGCTGTATAAGTCGAGTTAATTTATAAAATGGGTATTTTATGGTTCATCAAAAAGCCATTCCTTTTCTCTTGCTATGTAAAAAGAAGCGAAATCTATGCATGCAATGGTCTTTATAGTGTTTTAACGAAATGGATGCATCTTCTGGATGAAACATATTGAATGCAGGTCATTATTTGCTTCTAAGATCATTCGAACTGGAGACAGTATATTGAGAGTTCCCTATGATGTGGTATATGTTTTCCCATTTTCTTTAAATTTGTCCCTTCTTTTTTTAAGGTTCCTTGAACAGAATAATGTTAAATCATGATTTCATTCTTTTATTACTTGGTCACACAGCAAATAGCTCAAGATAATCTCCTTCCAGAAATCGGAGCTTTGTTAAGTGATGAAGTTGGAATTACTGCAAAGCTAGCCATTGTCATTTTAGTTGAGCAGATAAAGGGTCAGGTAATATTCTTTTCTTTTCTATTCTTTTTTTGTTTGTTTTAGGCTTTTTATGATAATAATAACTTAAATCTATACGAGTTAATGGTTGTGGATAACTTACATCTTTCTTTGCATTTTTGGGAAGATTATTTGGTATATCATTTATGCTTCTCTATCTTTTGTTTTGGTATTGCATCTCAAGGAAATAGCTAGAACTGAATTTACTTGGTTTATCTTCTATAACAGGATTCTGAGTGGGCCCCTTACATTAGCCGCCTTCCTCAGTTCAGTGAAATGCATAGCCCTGTAAATGTTTCCTCTTTTTTATTGTTTTTTGGATTCTTTAATCAATTGATTCTTACTTACTGGGAATCAAAATTTTGCATTTTGTACCTATAAGAAAATACATATTTTCCATTTTATTCTTCTTTGTAGATATTCTGGAGTGAAGCTGAATTAGATATGATCTGTCTTAGCTCAGTATACCAGGAAACAGTTATTCAAAAAGCTAAAGTAGAAAAGGAATATATGGCAATGAAGAACGTAAGTACTCTCTGCGCTATAGTTGTCAGTCAACGTTTATCTGTCTGTTCAAACTTATGTATTTTTTTATTAGCAGTTATGCTGTAGATAATGTTGGGCTACTGACTGATATTTTCATAATTTCAATCCATTTTTCTTTAAATAATGAACCCTTCTGTATTTCTCATGATTTCAGGCTCTGAAGCAATTTCCTGAAATTTTTAAAAGCTTCACAATTGAGGACTTCAAGCATGCATATTCTTTAGGTAGTTCTAATTCTAAAGTATTTAGTACCCATTATCTACCCTTTTCCTTTTTATTTATAAGTAATTTCCAATATGCTCGCATAACTCATAAGATCCCTTAAGCTTTTGAATCCCATTTGAGGCATCTTCTATACATTTCTCACATGTGAGTGTACTGAGCACAAAAATGTTGTTAGCCTTCATATAAGAGTAATAGTTGTAATCATGTTTCAATTCTTTTTCTCTTGACTGCTTTGTCATGAATGTTGCAGTTGCATCTCGAGCATGGGAAAGCACAAAGGGTTTATCTTTGGTATTACTGTCTGGAGATGCCTTTCCCCCAAAAGAATTTTTATCTTTATTTCTGGCTCAATCTTATTTTAATAGGAATTCTTTGATTTATTAAATTATTCTCTAGATTCCTTTTGCAGATTTCTTGAATCATGATGGAATGTCAAATTCAATTGTATTGAGTGACGAAGATAAAAAATTGTCAGAGGCATGCTCCTTTTTTTTCTTTTACTCTTTTAAGTTCAACTCTGTTGTGCTCTAATTTCATCTTTATATTTTACTGGTTTTTTGGTACACATTGCCATTTATATTTACTGTTTTGAATTTATTTGAGCAGGTTTTTGCCGACCGCAATTATGCTCCTGGTGAAGAGGTCAGATGTACATAAGTGTCACTTTTTTACAACCTGATCCCTAAAAGTCATTTTAATTTCTTCTCTTTTGTGGTGACTATTGCTCTGCTGGTTTTCTCTGTGTATTTAGCTGCATAATAAGCTCTACCCAGCTAAAAAGTTCTCATGTTAACTTAAAATACTTGTCTAGGTACTGATAAGTTATGGAAAATTTCCAAATGCTACACTGCTGTTGGACTTTGGTTTTACATTTCCACACAACATTCATGACAAGGTTAGTGATGTAGTTTTGTAGCCACTGAGTTATATGATCTCTATTTCAGACATGTTTTAGATAAATAAATTATGTATTTCTTGCATGTATAATGCATCACCTCAGTTTCAAATGCCATGCTATTTAATAATATTGTTCGTGGATTTGACTAAATGTGTATTCTTTTTTGGTTTTCTATGTTTATGAATGAGTTTTATGACTCTCAGGTTGAGATTCAAATGGATATACCACATCATGATATTCTATGTGAAATGAAGTTGAAGCTTCTGCAGCAATATCGCGTTCGAAACATCAAAGATACCAATGGTTCTAATTTATCAGAGAATTCATTCACAATCAAGTTGGTGCTGATGCTTAGTTTCTTTATAACTTATATAATGATGCCACTAGATGTTACTACATTAAAAAGAATGATATAAAGTCATGGATGTAGAAAGGCCATTTCCTATATGTATGGAGTGCTTCTCACAAATCACTCTTTATTGCTTTCTCTACTTCTAATTTTTACAATTAGCACCCATCATTAATTTCATGATATTACGTTAGTCCTACCCATGTTAGCTTATTTCTTCATAACCTATATGGCTATGGATAATGAATCCTCCTACAAGTCATATAATTTAATTTTCTGATGACTTCATTATAACATAGGGAAGTTAGGTCTGCCAGAGGAAAAGGGAAGGGTCTTCCACAGTCACTTGTGCTTTTTCTCGTGTTTTATGTTGTACATCTTCACAAGGTGTCTTCTAAATCCTGTTGGTCACTTTCTGTGCTTTTAGAACTTTGAAGAACTTACAACTTTTAGACCATGAAGTTCTGATTCAAGATTTCTTGTTAACCAAATTATCAGAACTATGTGACTTGGCCATAGAAGCTTCACAAAGTGATGGCCGGCTGGCTAGGCAACCTCTGAAAGATAGAAGGAGAGAAATCCAAGCACATAAGATGCTGCTAAGTCATATCAGTCAGCTAATTGAGAAACATGATGCAGCCGTTAAGGTTAGCTAAGCTTCTTTTATTTAACAGTTGGTCATCATGTTACTACAGCATTATTTGCTATCAATGGAAACTCTGACATAAAAAGACAAACACAAAAAACAAAAATGTTTCTATCGTAAAATAACATAAAAATGCAGAGAGGATGAAAACTTTAGCTGCTTGTACAAATTGACTGCTGAGTGAGATGTTTTTCTTCTACTTTGTCTTTCTTTTCCCAGAATTTATCGTAACTATGAAGCATGCAGTTTACTTATTATTTTAACCCTTAACTTAAATCTTATTCCGAGCTTTCTAACATGTCCATGCAGTCACTTGATCCTACTAATTGCCTCTCCACATGTAAAAGACTAGTTCTTAGGATGCAAATGGCTCGAGATCTCCTCGGTGGTGAGCTTCGTGTCCTACAATCTGCAGCTGCGTGGTTGAAGAATTATTGTGCATCATAGTTTTCAACCGTCCACCCATGATAAACAAGCCAAAAATGATGGGAAAGTGGAGTACAAATTAGTTCATCAAATTGAACTATAAACTAATGCAAAAACTTTTTCCCTCTAAATTGATTAATCTCAATGACAGAAAGACTAATGATTGTTCAGGTCCCTAATTGATCATTAAGAGTATTTTTGGATCCTCATGCCTAGTTTGGTACTAAAATTAATCAGTCTCCTTATTTTTCCTTTTTGCTACTCAACTAATGGGGAACAATTTCTACGTTCAAGTGTTTTACTCCTTATTTAGTAATATAAATTGTACTGTATAATACAACTTTAATTGTGCAACATATTTTTGTATTTTATAATTAAATCTTTTATAAGTAGTCAACAAAAGGTAAACCGAACACTAGAAGGTTGAATTTGATATCAGATTTATTAGAAACATTCAACTTGGAAATGTGAAAATTTGTAGGTCTCATGGCATAAAATTTAAATTTTCCCATGTTCAAAAAAAAAAAATTAATTTTCCCATCCATCTCATTGAGTTTTAAAAAATTAAAAAAAATTTAAAAAATCAATAAAAATAAGAGTAAGGATAATGTAAACGAAATTTTGAGATTATTGACGTTGTTTATATTATATTATTAAATTAATTAATATATATTGTAAGTTTTAAAAAAAAATTGATTATCAAATAATATAGAGTTTATTTTTTAATATTTTAAATAAAATAATTTTGTAGATTTTGGTTTTAAGTTTTTATCTTATTAACCATTATTTTAATAATAATTCCAACACAGGTCCTTCTTTGCAATATTAGCAAGTATAAGGGGCTCTGACAATAAAATTCCAGATCCTTATCCTTGGGCCCGGACTATATAATAAAGAAAAAGATGGATAGCCCAGCTTGAGTACGTCTCTCTCGCGAACTTTCTCTACGAAAATCTAGGGTTTTACCTGAGATTTCACAGGTAGGGTTCTACAGCCTCTCTCTCAACTGTATGCTAGAATTCCCATCGGAGTCTTTTTTTCTTTGCTTGAAATTACAATTGTTTTTTAGACGTTGATCTAAACAGTAATTGCCGGAAACATGCCTCGCCACGATGACCGCCGCGGTGGTACGCGCCTTTACGTTGGTCACCTGTCTTCTAGAACAAGATCCCGTGATCTCGAGGACTGGTTCAGCAGATACGGGAGGTAATTATAGCTTTTTCCCTTATGAATTTCAAACAGATAGAATTCCGGGGGGATGATAAGCTCAATATTTTAACAACTGATTTGTATTATGTTTGTGTTATATTTGGAAATTTTCTTGTGTTTGGTCGTGGAGTACCTTTAAACACTCTTATGGATTTTACCTGATTGGATTTGAGTTTTTTGGGTCTTAGTTTGAAACCAATCATTTGCGTTTTTGAATGTTTCCCCTTCAACAATATAGGGTCACCTTTTCTTTTTTGCCTTTTTTAATTTTTCGTGTGGGTGCTTATTGTTGTCTGTTTCTGTGTGTTTTATATCAATGGCCATAAGTGAAAGGTCACGTTGAAGTTGGAAAAATGAAGCCTGTGTTCAGCACCTTTTGGTGGTTGACATTTAGTCTTCAATTCTAACTTTTCAGCGAGAATGCTGCACCCCACCACATGTCTGTGTGGTTTAACATAAATGATCTTGTTGAAGGTTTCTTGGCTTTTGCCTAACCTGGAGGTCTATGGTGAGAGGGTGACCTTGGTGGATTTGGGCCAGTCTTTCTGTAGTGTTATAGCGTGTTTTTATCGAAATGGAAACAAACTCAAAGTGGTGTCTTTGGTTCATCTGTGAGGGGCGAAGTATCAACCCTTCGATAATTGTGTGATGATGGCCTTACTGTTTCTGGCCCCCGTTTGCGCAGAGTACGAGATGTGGATATGAAGCGCGACTATGCATTTGTTGTATGTATCCCTCTACTTCAGAACTATGTTCTGCATTTCCTCCTTATTTGTTCTTCTTAACACTGCTCTTTTATTGAAATATAATGTTGTAAATATCATCTTTTCCTTTTCTTTTCTTTTTTTTTCCCCTTTTTTTTTTTTTTTTTGTCTGTGTGACAATAGGAATTCAGTGATCCTCGAGATGCTGATGATGCTAGATATGCCCTGAATGGTCGTGAACTTGATGGGAGCCGTCTCATTGTGGAGTTTGCTAGAGGAGTAAGTTATTCTGAAAATTTCCCCATTACTTTTGGATTTTTCCGATGTGTGTTTCTTGATAATAATTAAAGTTGATTAAATTTGACTTCTTTATTAATCGCTAAAGAACTTTCTGTTCAGTGACTAGTGGATAATTGCAATAGTTTCTTCTATGATGTGTTTGCATTCCTAGTACCCTTGAATGGTTAGTATCATGATAGGATCCTCTTTCCAATTGCCATTCTAAATTTGTTCTGTATCATCTTGTGCTCCATTTCTCCTTTTCTATTTTCTCTTTCTCATTGTGATTTAGGGACATTATTGAGTGGAGATTTCCTAAGAGTCTAAGTTGTTTGGAAGTGTCTCATTTAATTTAACTTGAATCTAGATTCCTCGTGGTCCTGGTGGATCTCGTGAATACCTTGGAAGAGGTCCTGCTCCTGGAACTGGACGTTGCTTCAACTGTGGAATTGATGGTCACTGGGCTCGAGATTGTAAAGCTGGAGACTGGAAGAATAAGTGTTATCGTTGTGGAGAACGAGGTCATATAGAAAGAAATTGTCAAAATAGTCCAAAGAAGCTAAGGTTCTTTCTCTCTCTACTTTTCCAGTTTGATGTTTTCGCTGAATTGATATGCATGCAAGAAAAAATCTATGAACTTATTGCTGATTTGAATTGGAATTTTTCCATTTTGCCTGCTTTAGTAAGCATGGGCGTAGTTATTCACGCTCACCATCTCCTCGCCGTGGTAGAAGCAGAAGCCCTAGCTACAGCAGGGGGCGTAGTGACAGGTTTGTTTTTGCAACAACAGTCAGTTCCTGTAATGCATTTTTACTCTTAATGGTGATGTCTATGAAATCATTTTGGCTTGGCAATCTTGCATTTCAATACAGTCAAGAAAGTTATGAATTGCAAAGTCCCTTGTCATTGCCATTCATTGTGTTTAACTGCATTTGAACCTTTTTCCAGCCGATCCAGATCACCTGTTAACAGGGATCGGAGTCTTGATCGTGCTGAAAGAAGATCAAGGAGCCCTCGAGATGACAGCAGGAGTCCCAAGCATCAGCGGGTATCACCTTCCCCTTCCAAAGGGCGTAAGCGGAGTCTGACCCCAGATGAGAGAAGTCCGAGAGAGAGAGGCAGCCCATCTCCTAGGGATCGCAGACAAGTGAATGGCTCAGATTACAGTGCAAGTCCCAGAGGCAAGAGCAGAAGCCCCATCCATGATGCTGATGGCCCTGAAGATAGGGATTATAGGAGCCCTGCGAAGGAAAATGGGAACAGCCGCAGCCCTAGTCCACTTCCAAGGGATGATGATGAGTGAATAAATCATATGCTTCTTATGATGCATTTGAATCAACTTTTAAAGACATACAACTGCCTGTTTTGTAGTTTTGTGTTGTGAGAACCTTTGTTTCTTTTTTTTTTTTAGAATCTTCGGTGGATGATAGAAGTTCCTGAATATTTTTGTTGCTGTTGGATGCTCAAATTTCATTCTATGAAGGGTCATAAACAGGATATGGTTGTTCTGGCGGTTGAGAAATGTTTTAGCAGGATATCTTTACTTAATTACACAGAGGCAGCCTGATTGTTTTGCAATTAATTCAAGGAAAACCTGAAATCCATCCATTCCAGTGGGGATCAAAATATTCACAATGCTTTTGCATTTGCTGGTTCATGCACAAAATAGACGCTGTGACTTAACATGGTTTCTAGAAGTACCGCTCGTCGGGAATCAAACAAAAAAGGATGTGCAGCAATTCATTAGTCCATGCAAAATTAACATGCAACTTCGTAGAGCCTCAGCAATGGATTACAAAATTGTTCTTGCATCTATCTTCATTGGCTAAACGTTCAACAACTATCAATAATATAAGGGAATTAGCCACCTTAAGTTTGTAAAACAGATTTTGCCCCTACATTTATAGAGAATGCTATCTGCTGCTCATGCAGGATATCTGGCGACATCAGAAATCAGAACAGGAGCTGTTTTTCCCTGCCCATGCTAAATTATGATATGTATGCCTTGACTACCTCTGAGTAATTGCAAACGTCACCTGTTCTTGGACAAGTAATTTTACCGTTGCTTTTCTTGGCCATTTCTTCCAGCGACAGCAATACTAAGAAGTTAGAACCAACCCAATAGCAAAATCTACTACTACAAGAAAAATGTTAACCTTAAGTCTGTAGACTTAGCCGTTAGTTAAGACTTGAGGTGGGTTCTCTGTGTCCATCCGCTCTTTAGTTATGTAGCAAACAAGCTTTTAGTAATGCTGCTTGGAGTATGGCAAAGGTGATGCCAGTTTTCGGAAGCTCTCCAGCGACAGTGGATCCTCCTTCGTGCAATCATCTTCATAACAATATCTAAATCATGTCAAGGCAAAATACATGTGCTAGGAGAAATGTAACAGTACTAAAAGGATCTTCCAGTGTCAGTTATCAGATCATTTGGGAACTTTAAAGTGGATTTCAATTATTAGTGACTGTAGGATGAACTTGAAAATATGTTTTGGATATGACAAAATTATCAATTCTAAACTATCAGCACGGATACAGTGTTTTCAGAGCAGACAAGCCTGCTCGTAGGAAATATTCAGCCATGGCTTCAGGGTCATGGTGTATAACCTACAGAACTCCTGTTTAAATTGATCCACCATGAAGTCCCATTGCTTGGGCTCAAATAAAACCTGGTGCGCAAAATAAAAAGGAAAACATTTTAACCTCTGATTTACCAGCTCCCAAAAAGAACCCAAAAATAAAACCAGCACAGGACAGTAGCATAATGGCCAAAACCCAAGAATAAAACCATCACAGGACGGTAGCATAATGGCCAAAATTAAACGTTCAAAACATTCATCGGAAATAGAGGTTCTGCTTGTACATTTGCTTGGCAAACATCTAGTGGAGTCATGCATTACTAGGAATATAATCTAGTAAAATTCATCAACATGCACATTGACTGTATAACAAGCCTTGTCCTTGATTTATGGACTGACAGGCGAAGATGGGCGGGTTTGCGGATAGATATAATGGATACCATCAGATTTAGGGACAAGCGAATTGATTTGTAAACATGGATAACTGGTGAACGTGGACGAAGGATGAACGAACAAATTTATAGACATGAACGAATAGTTATGGATAGATTATTGGACAGTTGTGTGGATGGTTGTGAATAGATGAACAAATTTATAGACAGATTTATAGATGGATAAGTAGACAAATAAATTTACAAACGATTTGGTAAACAGATATACGTATGAAAGACAGATGAAATTTTAAATATAAACAGAAGTGTATAAACAAATACGTAGTACGAACATGGATGATCAGGTATGAACGAGAATTGACAGAATTTGGACAAACAAAGGACAAATACAGATGAATTTGTGGACAAATCTATTGACAAATGAACGGACAAGTTTGTGGATGAAAGGATAAACAAGTTTTCGATTTATGAATAGATTTTTAGAGAGACATTCAAACATGTTTGTAGACCTAAACAGATGATAGACATGGACAGATAAATACGGATGAGTTTATGAATGGACGCTTAAATTTATGAATATGGATAAATTTATGAATGGTTGTAGACAAACAAACAGATTTGTGAATAAATTTATGGACAGACAAATAAATTTGTGGATGAATTTATGCATAAACAGATAAATTTATGAATGAATTTATTAAACTAATAAATGAATTTATAAAATAATTTATAGACAAATGAATGAATTTATAGACATTACTAATGATAGTGATAAACGTAATTGTTGACAAATTTATAAACAAAGTAAATAGATTTATGAATAAACTTATAAACAAAATATATTTATATATAGTTATCGAGGGATGAACAAATTATATAAATGAATTTATGAAGGTTGGACAAAGGTTTTGTTGACAATGTAACCTTACCTTGTACTTTATTGCACAATCATTGTTACTTTCAAAGGCCAATGTTGCCATGACTCGCTGCAATTCTTTCATGTGAGTTGCTCCCCATGGTGCAAGATATATATTTTCGAGCATATGAAATAGCACGCGTATTGCATTCGGTTCTTACCAACTCTATGAACTCCTGAAGTTTCAACTGGAACTCAAATCTGCTATGCACAAGGAAACTATAAATTACTCAAACTGCGTTAATATGAATTTTTAGCCATGCTACCGTGCAAAACTCGTGATAGGGTTTCATGATAGAGCAACTACTAAAGAACAAGAAACTTAAAAACACCATGAAAACTTCAAACAACCACCTAAGAATGTTGCAACTCGATCCAAGCCTCTAATTCATTAATGCACCATGACTAAAGGATCAAATTACAACATCGATACCAATAGCAATGTAAATCATTGAATTATGCTCACTAGATCTTAAAAATAAATAAATAAATTTGGCCTTCTTTCTTTTTCAGTTATTACCTTTCGCTTGAGGCCTTGCAAACGGGAAATAAGGGAACTGAGATGGGAAACGGCATCGTCCTTAGAGAGGTTAGCGGAGTCGGCCACATCAGCGACGCCAGAAATAACAGAAGAGATCTCCTTCTCGACAGCACGTTGGTTGGCTCGGATCGTTTTCTTGTAGTGATCGAAGGGAACGTGAAGCAACTGATGCTCTAACTGTAACGATTCCTTCAGTTGGCTAAGTTTTGACGCAGGGTGCAGTATCGGTGGTGGCGGAATGCTGGGGTTGTGCCGGTTGCGGTGGTTGCTGCCGCGCTATTTCCTTTAGGACGGGGGTCCATTTCCATTTCGGAAACGAAATTCGCTTTTCTTTCTTTCCTTTTCTGGGATAAACGGCGACAGAAAAATAAGCAGAATTATAAAAAGGTGTAACGGCGTTCAAAACGACGACGTCGAATAGCTTTGCTCGGATCGGATTCAAGTTTTCCGGATTTCTCTGCGAGTACCCGACTACCCGGCCGGAATAGAATTGTTTGGATCCTGACTAGATCGAGCTCAGCCCAGTTTTTGTTGGGTCAATTTTGTGATGGGCTTAGCAATGAAAGAGTTGGGCTTGATTCTTTATGGTTATCCACATATTGATTTTTTGGACAAGTAAAGTAAAATAGTGTACTTCAATCATCATTAATGCTTTTTTTTTTCCCCCTTTTTCAAGTTACATAATTAATGTTTTTAAATTTTAATACTACTTCCAAAAAAAAAGGCGTGGGGTGCGCATGAACCATTAAACGAATGTGAATCATGATGTATGCTGAAAGGGCGGACACAGAATTTTGAGTTGATGCCCACAGCACATTATGCAGCCATTTTTTATTTTTCTTTTTTATTTGCATGATTTGAAGCTTTCATAATGTCCTTATTTGAAAAGAATTGGTCATTAGTAGTAATTTTCTGTGAGATTTGTGATTGAATGTGACATGAAAATAAGTTCAAGTTTTTATTAACCATGTGCTTTTCTAAAGTCAAATTAACAATAGAATGCTATTATGTCAATTAGAAAATGACATCTTAAAAGTCTTTATAATTTAAATGTTGTGGTAGATAATTTCTACATCACAAGAAAAAGGTATCAAGCTATTCTACCATATTTTCAACCAAATTTACACTTAAAATATCTTTGTATTAATTAAAGTTATGTTTTAGATTGTTTAATAAGGTTTTAATCTTAAAATATATGAAAATTATTTTGAAAATTTTTAAATTGTCATTAGAAAATTTTAATTTATGATATCATCTTAAACGATTTAAAATATAAATTTAGCATAAGACATATGTCATAAGAATGGCTATGACCAACAA